GGGAGAAAGGAAGTTGGAATCATGTTTGGCTAAGGGTAGGAATGGGAACAGGGACACAGGTCTAAGGCTCTGTGGTGTCAGAGCTGGGAAGGAGGACACTAAGGAAGGAAACTGGAATCATGCTTGCTGGAAGTTCACCCCAATAAACATCGAATTGTTTGCACCTTTGGACTTCGGGTATTGTTGCTCTCTGTTCATGCGAGAAGGACCAGGGAAGTAAGTGGGTGAAGGAATAAGCCCCCTAACACCCTATAATTTGTCATTCATTCCTGGCAAAGGCAATACAAGGCCTAAAAACCACTTAAGACTCACTTCAGCATTCAAAAAGAGCTCTTCCCAGAGACTTAAGTTGACATAGGCTTTTGCAGTGGCCTTATGCACTGGGATGAAGTTCACCGTACAGGGATTAGAAATACAGCTGTAGTTATGTCCTCATGATGAAAGATTAGGGTGATCATCATGGCAGAAGCACACAGGGCTATTTATGGAAAGGCTGCTCACTGTTTGTGGTTAGGGTCGGTGGCACAGTGTTTTATAAAGTCTTGGAGTTACAACCTTGAACCTATATTGCCTCAGCAACCACATCTCCATCCATGAGCAGCTAAGAGTAGTGAGAGCTTGTGGGACAGTGCGTCTAAGAGAGCCCAAGTCAAGCACAGGAGAGATGAAGAAAAGGCATCGTTGACCAAACACGAGACATCTGTGGAATGAGTTTAGGTTAAGGCAGAATCTCACCAGCTGGTGGTCATGTTTCCTGATCCTTCTCTTGCAGAAAGTGTTGTAGCTACAATACTAAAATTGTTACATCCACTCCAAACAGAGCTTCCTCTGTCCCAGAATCTATACATTGGAGTTTTATACAAAAGGGAACTCGTAGCTGCTATTTAATAAAAATCAAAAAGCAACTAGAAATCACGACCTGATTAAGGCCGAGAAATGAAAGAAATTGAAATACATATTTTAAATGACCCTATTACTCAAAACATGGACATCTTCTACGAATAAGCTGTTATTATTGTAAGCATAAAACATTTGCATATCTAGAACTTTAATGGCTGTTTGTGAAGTGCTTTGGTATCCAGAGTTCTAAGGACACCACTTAGCATCCAACTAAAGTGTTATTATCCTTATTTGCTATGCAAATAAACAGAGGTGTATTCTGCTGAAGGTAACACAAGGAGTCAATTACAAAGATAGAACTAAAACCACGTAATCCCGTTTCTCATGCCACATGCTACTCTCTGGCTTGAATGTTCTTAGACTGTCTTACAAGACAACATTACTCAAGAGTTTTGTTATTATCATGTAGTGTCTTTGGCTTCCTCATATACAACTTACATGAAGTGCTTAGTTTGTAATGAAGGAGGGTGCTGGGGCTCAAGCAATTAGATGCCATGTCTCAAGCAAATTTTTACTTTCGCGACGGACACAGCAAGCCTCGAGGTGCTGGGCTATGAACTGCCCAGCCCAGAGGTGCCGAGGCTCAGCCCTGGCAAGCCCTGGCACAAGTTAAGCACTGCTTACACGAGTAATGATTACAGAGACTCAGTCATCTTCTTGTTTTGTTTGACGAGCTTCTTGATGAATTCTCTTTTGATCTAAGCATAAACAAATCACAACTAAATTGGTGGTTTAGGATCATGAACTTCAATTTATCATTCAAATATTAAATCCTGAGTGAAAAGAAACTTATGTTTATTCCTATGAAAAAACCTGCTGTTGCTGTCAAGCAAAATCTTAACTCCAGCCTCGTTTTCCTCCAGACATTTCTCTACCTACTACAGAATTGTGGGCCCTTCACCTGTTCTACAGACATTTCCTTAGTATGGCCTTAAGGTTTCTTATCTGATAGGCATTATGATGAATTTCACCAGTGCAGTGTGTTACTCTCTGTTTCTATAGTGTAGCCAATGATTTTAGTTTATTATCCATTTATTGTGTGATGTTATGATTAATCAATATGTTATATTACATATATTCATTGTAGGTTAATTAGAGTTAATCTCTCGGATTATAAAAGTATAAGACTGATCAGTAGTTAGAGGAACCAAATATTAGACATGAGGAAGAGAAGTTGAAACACAAGAACCCATAGGATGAGGCCTGTAAGAGTTTAGCATGTCTCAGATATGTGTCTTAAACCACGAGATACAGATTGTGCATCAATGTTAATGAGAACGAAGGGAATTTACACAACCTATAGGAAAGTGGGGTGCCTTAGGTTTCCAGGGGACACAGACCAAGCAAAGAAAAGAGGGCTGACACTTTTATGGACATGCAGAATGTAGGTATAGACAGAATCACTCTTTTTTGATGTTGGGTCAGTAGTGGGGATATACACAACAGCAACCTGAAAAGAAGAAATTTCATGGTACATCTCTTAAATATATCTTGAGAATTGCAATTGTACACTACCCATGGAGAATCTTAAAAATTGCACACTCTCTGTTTTCTCGGACAATTATTATCTTCATGTATGAAGAAGGCAAAGTGGATCAGAACATTATCTGACAAAAAAAACCATAACATTTGTATGTGAACAGTTTTCACAAAGCGAAAAACCTGTATGTGACCTCTCAGTCGTCGTCTTCAAAGGAAATCTGCACAACACCTTGAAAAGACGAGCCTCTGAGCCTAAAGTGATAACCTAAAGTGAACACTCAAAATCATGGCCTGAATAGAGATATTGGATTTATGACTTATTACAACAATATATAACCCAGTAACGGCACCCCCTCCCAGCTTTTTCCCCTTTCCTCTCCTCCCTATGACTGGAGAGCTGTTATCTGGCCACTTGACTTTGAAAAGTTCCTTGAAATAGATGCTAACTATGATTGTAAAAAGAAAAGGAGTACTTGTGGCACCTTAGAGACTAACCAATTTATTTGAGCATGAGCTTTCGTGAGCTACAGCTCACTTCATCAGATGTTTACCGTGGAAACTGCAGCAGACTTTATATACACACAGAGAATATGAAACAATACCTCCTCCCACCCCACTGTCCTGCTGGTAATAGCTTATCTAAAGTGATCAACAGGTGGGCCATTTCCAGCACAAATCCAGGTTTTCTCACCCTCCACCCCCCCACACAAATTCACTCTCCTGCTGGTGCTAGCCCATCCAAAGTGACAACTCTTTACATAATCAAGTCGGGCTATTTCCTGCATAGATCAAGGTTTTCTCACATCCCCCCCACCCCCATACACACACAAACTCACTCTCCTGCTGGTAATAGCTCATCTAAACTGACCACTCTCCAGGTTTAAATCCAAGTTAAACCAGAACATCTGGGGGGGGGGGGGGGGGGGAGGGAGAAAACAAGAGGAAACAGGCTACCTTGCATAATGACTTAGCCACTCCCAGTCTCTATTTAAGCCTAAATTAATAGTATCCAATTTGCAAATGAATTCCAATTCAGCAGTTTCTCGCTGGAGTCTGGATTTGAAGTTTTTTTGTTTTAAGATAGCGACCTTCATGTCTGTGATTGCGTGACCAGAGAGATTGAAGTGTTCTCCGACTGGTTTATGAATGTTATAATTCTTGACATCTGATTTGTGTCCATTTATTCTTTTACGTAGAGACTGTCCAGTTTGACCAATGTACATGGCAGAGGGGCATTGCTGGCACATGATGGCATATATCACATTGGTGGATGTGCAGGTGAACGAGCCTCTGATAGTGTGGCTGATGTTATTAGGCCCTGTGATGGTGTCCCCTGAATAGATATGTGGGCACAATTGGCAACGGGCTTTGTTGCAAGGATAAGTTCCTGGGTTAGTGGTTCTGTTGTGTGGTATGTGGTTGTTGGTGAGTATTTGCTTCAGGTTGCGGGGCTGTCTGTAGGCAAGGACTGGCCTGTCTCCCAAGACTTGTGAGAGTGTTGGGTCATCCTTTAGGATAGGTTGTAGATCCTAAATAATGCGTTGGAGGGGTTTTAGTTGGGGGTATGGGGGTGGGGGGGATGTGAGAAAACCTTGATCTATGCAGGAAATAGCCCGACTTGATTATGTAAAGAGTTGTCACTTTGGATGGGCTAGCACCAGCAGGAGAGTGAATTTGTGTGGGGGGGTGGAGGGTGAGAAAACCTGGATTTGTGCTGGAAATGGCCCACCTGTTGATCACTTTAGATAAGCTATTACCAGCAGGACAGTGGGGTGGGAGGAGGTATTGTTTCATATTCTCTGTGTGTATATAAAGTCTGCTGCAGTTTCCACGGTAAACATCTGATGAAGTGAGCTGTAGCTCACGAAAGCTCATGCTCAAATAAATTGGTTAGTCTCTAAGGTGCCACAAGTACTCCTTTTCTTTTTGCGAATACAGACTAACACGGCTGTTCCTCTGAAACCTATGATTGTAAACAATCTCTTTCACCTTCCATTTAGCTGTGACACTCTGAGTACATTTCCCAGAATTGAAGTAGAGTGCTGTAGAAGCTCGAAAGCTTTTCTCTCTCCCCATAAGAAGCTGGTCCCATAAATGATATATTGCTTTACCCACTTTGTCTCTCTCATATGCTGGGACCAACATGCCTACAATAACATCTCTTCTTAGTGACCTATTTGGAAGCCAAAAATGTGAAGGGTCAAGGAAGGTTCAGGACCAATGGTAAATACTTAGCACGTGTTCTCAAGACAACTGGGTTTTATTTGGGACTCTGCAACTTGCCCCCTGTCTGAATTTCACGTTAATGTGCCCTCTGGTTCACTGCCTAAAAAACAGGGATCATAACACGTGGAGAATGCTCTACTTCCTCAGGGCTCCAGGTATCAAAGCGTGTCACAAACACTCATTAAGGTTTTTCGTATCCAAAGCAGTGGATTGTTCTGCCCCCCCCCCCCCCCCAACCCCCCCCCCCCCGGGACCAAAACCCCCCCCCCCCACAAACCCCCCCCCCCCCCCAAACACCCCTTTAAAGGACCCCCGAAAAGAGGAGAAAAAACCCCCCCCAAGAAACCCATTAATCAGGGGAAAGAAAAAAACTGGGGCACCCCCGCAAAAGCTCTCTCCCTCCTACGAATTGCAGGGAGAACTGTGCAATGCCACCAACACCTGCCCACATGGCTTACCAGGACCAAAGTGGAGACCTCCATCTAATGGCAGACTTTGCACCTGTTACAGCTCTGACAATCTTTTACATCATTCCCATTGTAACTCCTGCGGAGGAATGAATGTGTCCCATAAAACTTTTCAGATGAAAGAAACCTATAGGCTGTCTGGTGCATGTCAGACCATGTGAGGTTGAAAACACATGGTAATAATCCTGAAAACAAATTATATCAATTGAAGGAGTGACTCGCACAGCATAATATGTTTTCTAACTAATTAAGACCTTGAGCAAAAGGGTGTCTCGTATTCTCCAGGCAGTCTAAGAAATTGTATAAAAGCGCTCACAACTCCAGGCTCCTTAACAACTTCTCTTGACTTATCCTCTTCAGCGACCGGGGTAAGTCCCATTTGTTTCATTCTCTCGAGAGCTATTGCGATGTCCCGTTAGTCACGGTTTAATTTAGGACTCAATCTTGCGCATGACTTTGTGATTATTGGCACAGTAAAGGGGGTTTGCCAATAACACAGTAGTTGTTAAGTTGCAGGCACTGATGCGTTCATGGTTTAGAAGTAAATGCTTCAATTTTCAGAGGTGCCTAGGCATTTGGGAGAGGAGTTCATGTTTACTATCACTAGGAATTAGGTGTTGGAATCCCATCAGTAGCTTTCAATAATTCCATATTCAGCTTTAAAGTTAGGGGAGTTAGGATGAAACTTCCCCAGTTTTTTTCAGAATAGGTCACTGTGTTGTTCCTTATTCTGTAGCAGAAGGTACTCGGCCAGATTTCAGACAGAATAATCAATGAGAAGGAGCTGTGGTCTGATCCAGCATGGAAATTTCTATGTTCCTACCTGCTCTAGTAGCAATGTTAGATGCAGATCCAAAGCTAGGTAAATTAGCCTAGACCCTTGAACTCAGCTGAACAGTGCCCTTATCTACCCGCTCAGGACTTGGCTCTTAATGTTTTGTTTTGAAAAAAGTATTTTAGAACATAAGAACGGCCATACTGGGTGAGATCAATGATCCAACTAGCCCAGTATCCTGTCTTCCAACAGTATCCAATGCCAGGTGCTTGAGAGGGAATGAACAGAACATGTAATCCTGAAGTGATCCATCCCGTCACCCCTTTCCAGCATATGGCAAACAGAGACTAGGGACATTTCAGAGCACGGTTTTCCCTTCCTTTATTAGCAAGTATTGTTGGCTCAGAAAGTTTAGAAGCCAAACTGCCAGTCTGTTATTCAGAAGAAAGGGGTTTTCATGCTGAGGTTAAATCCTCTCAAGGAAATTAAGATTAGCAAACTAGTCCCTGCCATCCTTTGTTTAAACCATTTGTAAAAGAGAGTAAAAATCCCAAGTGTACATGATAGAAATAGTCTATAGCAGATATTTATTTTGCTGTCAGAGGAAGGATTGAGAGGGACTCAAAAGGGCTGGTTAAGAGGGAGGGTAGGAGTGAGTGGAAGAAGGCGGCTAGGAGGAGGAACTAAGAGGCAACATGTATCCAGGAACTGAGGGTCTGGGTCATCATTTCCCTGAGCATTGAACCTTTTACTCTATGACCCTAGTGCATTATGTTGACTCTTTTCCCTGTTGTGTGTTTCAGGTTTACCTCCGACACAGAAAGATGACTTTTGACGAAAACTTTAGTGATGAATTGTATTACAAGCCCTACCACTATGGGGGCTGGGGTGGTTCCAGAGGTTACGGCTACTGTAGGCCATGGTATTACCAAAGGCCGTACAAGTGTTGTTGGGGCTATCCCAAAGGCTGTTGGTACCCTTACCCTTGCCATTGGGGCTGGGGGCACGGCTATGGAAAGGGTTGGCCATGTTTCGCCGAGGAGGAATAGACCCGGAATGTGGAAAGACCTGGAAACATTAAGCAAGATTCACAGATGAGTTTGTGGGCAATAGGTTTGAGAAATGCAGAGTGCCCTCAACTCCCATGGGTGCTGTGAGTGCTCAGCATCTCAGTAAATCTGCCCCATATCTCTATTTCCTCGGTTACACTGGTTGACTGTTTCCTCTACTGCCTTCCAGACTCTCTGCTTCTTCTAGAAAAACGTGTTTGGGTGTGAATCTTAATTCCATGAAGGCCCCTTTAGGTCACGCTGACACAGTAAATGAAGCAGGCTCCTTACAAAGTCCTGCAAAGGGGTCTTAGTGTCAATGAGAATCAAGCCCTACGTGTTCTAGTCCTTTTATGCATTTGTGCCATTTGTTTCTGCTTTCAACTTTGCTTTATTTGTTGTTTACTGGAGAAGTAGTTTCGTCCTTGGTTTTAGTTGTGCTTTGTCTCATTTGATTCTGACTGTGATGAAACTAATACCTTAAAATGGTTGCAAAGAGAACTTGACTGTAAAATCTACAGCTGTGATGAAGAATGAAGAACATCTGGCTTGAAATGCATCACCTTGGAGCCAGTGACTCATTGTAGCCCTTCTTGATACCTTGGAGATATTATTTTAATACTGAATTCTTTGTGTCGCTTTCTGTGTACTTGTATTCCGATTCACATTAAAATGCTTCTGAATCATAATATCATCCTTCTGAGTTTCCTTTCTGCTCCCTTCCTTATTGACCAGCCAGTCTGGCCCAGATTCACACAGGTAATTTGGTGCCTAAGGTTACTCTGGAATTGAGGGGTGTGTTATCCCAGAATTTCATCAAGCTAATTGTGGTCCTATTGTATGCATTCCGCCACCATGACTTGCTCAAATAGAACATCATGTAGTTTAGGGTTAGTTTGGACAAGGGCTTTTGGAGGCGACGTTGAATACTGGCTGCACGTTTGTAGTTTCTGCTAACCAGAATGGGAAGTGGGGAGAAAAGAATCAACAAATTGAGACTGAAAGAAAATAAGTGAATGGAGACCTTGAGTTTGGGTGACTGAGATAGAAGCTTATTATGGCTAAGGTTGTTAGGAAAGTTTTGTTGATAGGCAATTGATTGAAGTTAGGAGAAGTGATGACCCAGTAGGGGTCACTATGAACTACAGGTTTTGTAAAAATTAGTTCTAAAAAGAGGCGATAATAGAGTGTACTTTGGAGGAGTTCTCTGACGTTATCCTGAGAGACAGCATACTCCCCAGTGGGGAAGTGTCTAGCCATTGCTGACCTGCTGCTAATTACTAGATACCATCTGAGATTTTAGGTAATTATTTGGGATGTTCTAAAGCTATTGCTTACGTGCGTGTGTGCTTAAATCTAAAAAATATTAGTTGTAGATACGAGCACGCTTGCTGTATCATCCAGGAACTAACTAGTCTAAAGAAGTGTGTTTCCCTGAATGAAGCCCCAGGGCAGGTGCCCATGGAACAATCCTAAGGCCATTACCTCCAGATCCAGGTTTGGATCCTGCAGAACAAAGGGGACACAAAGTTCCTGCACCTGCTCAGGCTAACCTTCCAGAGCTGGAGGGAGATCCCCCTTTCTTACAGGCTGTTCCTCTTCTAGGCTCCTCCCCCCCCTGCTCAGTTTCCTCTTGCTGTTTGACTCGTCCCTCTGGCGGAACAGGGAGTCCTCTTCATTGCACCCAGGCTGTTCTATTTGGGAGCGCCAGGCTGACCCCTTAGAGGGGTCGTACACTCCTTCTCATACCTCCCTCTTTGAGTGGACCTATCAGTGCACTCATCGAATGTTCACGTCTTCACCCGTTCTACCCAGAACCGGACCGGCTGTAATGCCAAGTACCAGTGGGTGAGGAAGGCATTTCAGTCCAACATTGTCTGGAGCCAGCTCAGAGCTGCATTATCGGTGAGCAGGACAATTGGTGTCGCAAACAGGGAGTCCATCACGGCCGAGTGTCAGGGCAAACATTCTTTTTTGAGGGCTGTCAGGGTTCCCTCCCTACTCTGAACTCTGGGGTACAGATGTGGGGACCCGCATGAAAGACCCTCTAAGCTTATATTTTACCCGCTTAGGTGAAAACTTCTCTATGCCACTAATTCCTTCGACTGATATTGCTGCCGTCACCAAGGGATTTACACAAAATATTCAGGGAAGGGTGACTTAGAACCCCTAGCCCCCAAAATATCCCCGCAAGTCCCTTCAGCCCCTTTCCTGGGGAGGCTTGAGAATAAACTTCCAACCAGTAGTTTGCCTTAGCAATGTGAGCACAGACCAGACCCTTTGTCTTCAGGACACTGAAATCAATCAGGTTCTTAAAAGAAGACCTTTATTTTAAAAGAAAAAAGTAAAAGAATCACACCTGCAAAATCAGAATGGAAGGTAATCTCCAGGAGCTGTTTACTGGTAGACAAGATGGAATCAGTGGGGTAGAAGTATGACCGGAGATGACGTATGGGGGAGGAAAATGAGGGGGTCAAGTCCCTCCCAGATTGGCCTGGTGTGGGCAAGGAGGGAGAGGGGCTCTGTCCTTCTCTCCCTGTTCCCCCCCCTCCCCCGCTCCCATTCCATGTTCAGCCGCTTTCCCTGGCAGCCAGGCAGGAAGGGCGACGAAGCCGCTTCTCTCTGTGAGAGCCTGGCTGGGAGGCCATGGTGGATCCCTGGGCGCGGCTGTCGGGGGACAAGGAGCGCAGGCTCCGGATCACTTGGCCCCTGACCCCGCAGCAGGGCTTGGGCAGGGGCTTCTCGCCGTTGCCCCAGCTGCGGGGCACAGGGGACAAGTGAGCCAGAAACATGCTGGGGGCAGTGGGGGCTCCTGCTTGTTCAGCCCCTGTCTCCGGCAGCTGGGACAGCAGTGGTCCTCCCTCTGTCCTGGACCTGCTACGGGGGGACAGGGGCCGAGTGAGCCAGAGCACCCTCCCCACCCAGCAACCGAGCCCAGGCAGGGAGTGGTTTGCTGTCACCCCCCACACAGGCTCTCTCTGAGGCACGAGCAGTTGCCAGGGAGAGCGGCTGAACATACCGAGGGGGGGAGGCGCAGGGAGAGAAGGACAGAGCCCCCACCCCATATATAACCTGCGGTGGGGAAAGTGCAGTGGCCCTGGGCTGGATTCAGGGCTGCGGGGCGGGGACTGGGAAGGGGAGACACGTGGTGTGGTCATGTGTCCTCCCCTCTAGATTGTACCCCCGCAATTTAGGGGGGCACCAGTTGTCTAAGGGGTGACATGTAGGTCATATGACCCCCCAGATTTCTGCCAGGGTGGGAGTTGGGCTGAGGGGACGTGCCTGGGAAAGGCACCAGCCGGAGGCACTCCTGCTGTACCCCACGAGGTGGCGCCCAGAGCAGAGGAGCGAGACCGGGCTGGCAGCACAGCTCTCTGCCAGAGGGGGCGCGGGAAAGCCTGCTGAGTCTGTCCGTCTCCGCCAGCAGCCACATGGCCCCAGGGAGAATAACTCCTCTTCACTGCAGACACCGGCATGGTGACATGAGTTTTAAACCAGAAAGGAAAGTTATTTACCTGTTTGTGTACGTGTCTAGACTAGCCTGCCAGGGGTGGGCAAACGGGAGCTCAGGGAGTCGGTGTGGTGGTGGGGGGAGGCAGTGGGGACTGGTGGTGCTGGGGGTGGGGGAGGGGGTGGGGGAGGCAACGGAAGCCAGGCATCATGAGGGGGATGGGGGACTGGGGGTTTCAGCGGGGGCCGGGAGTGATGGGAGGGGGACCAGGGGAGGGAGCGGTAGCCAGGGGCGATGTCGGGGGTGGGGGGCTGAGGGAGCCGCAGGGGTAAGGATGCCAAAATACAAGTTCACCCAGGGTGCCATATTCCCTATTGATGATTCTGGGAGGTCCGGCCTTAAGCGTGGGCAACATGGTTACTGGGAGCAATTCTCAAGAGGCTGATGCTGGAGGGTGCCTTTGCAGTCACCGGGAAGTCAAACGTAGCTGTGGTGGTGGGGGGAGGGCCTGCCAGTGTGCCCCCCGCCCCACTATCTGCAGTTACCAGTTGCCTATGGGAGCCTGCATGTGAATTTGGCAGACTTGGAGTGCCAACTTCTCCCCATTCACTCTGGGGACCTGTCAGTCTCAAGATACCGACTCGGCTCCTCTTTGACCCTTCCCCTTCCACCTTCCAACCCCCCACTAAGTGTCAATGGGTTGCCAACAGCCCCTGGACATTAGTGCATGCTCTCCTTCCCTGGGGCTTCAGTAAGGGAGAGACACTTCTTTGGACTAGTGGCAAAGAGTCCTGTGGCACCTTATAGACTAACAGACGTATTGGAGCATGTAGTGGAAATTTCCAGAGGCAGGTATAAATATGCAAGCCAGAATCAGGCTAGGGATAATGAGGTTAGTTCAATCAGGGAGGATGAGGCCCTCTTCTAGCAGATGACGTGTGAACACCAAGGGAAGAGAAACTGCGTTTAATCCTGAGCTGATGGTGTCCAATCTGCAAATGAACTGAAGCTCAGCAGTTTCTCTTTGAAGTCTGGTCCTGACGTTTGTTTGCTGCAGGATGGCTACCTTTACATCTGCTATTGAGTGTCCAGTGAGGTTGAAGTGTTCTCCTACAGGTTTTTGTATATTGCCATTCCTAATGTCTGATTGTGTCCATTTATCCTTTTACGTAGGGACTGTCCGGTTTGGCCGATGTACATAGCAGAGGGGCATTGCTGGCACATGATGGCATATATTACATTGGTGGACATGCAGGTGAATGAACCGGTGATGGTGTGGCCGATCTGGTTAGGTCCTTTGATGGTGTGGCTGGTGTAGATATGTGGGCAGAGTTGGCATCAAGGTTTGTTGCATGGATTGGTTCCTGAGTTAGAGTTACTATGGTGCGGTGTGTAGTTGCTGGTGAGAATATGCTTCAGGTTGGTGGGTTGTCTGTGGCCAAGGACTGGCCTGCCTCCCAAGGCCTGTGAAAGTGAGGGATCGCTGTCCAGGATGAGTCGTAGATCACTGATGATGTGTTGGAGAGGTTTTAGCTGAGGACTGTATGTGATGGCCAGTGGAGTTCTGTTGGTTTCTTTCTTGGGCTTGTCTTGCAGCAGGAGGCTTCTGGGTACATGTCTGACCTCCTGCAACATTGGTGAGGCCACACCTGGAGTATTACATCCAGTTTTGGTCCTCCCACTACAGAAGGGTTGTGGGCAAATTGGGGAGAGTCCAGCGGAGGGCAACAAAAATGATTAGGGGGCTGGGGTACATGACTTATGAGGAGAGGCTGAGGGAGCTGGGGTTATTTAGTCTGTAAAAGAGAAGAGTGAGGGGGGATTTGATAGCAGCCTTCAACTACTTGAAGGGGGGTCCAAAGAGGATGGAGCTCAGCTGTTCTCAGTGGTGGCAAATGACTGAACATGAAGCAATAGTTTCAAGTTGCAGTGGGGGAGGTCTAGGTTGGATATTAGGAATCATTATTTCACTGGCGGCTTGGGATTGGACTAGGTGACCTCCTGAGGTCTCTTCCAACCCTAATCTTCTATGTTAAGAACATAAGAATAGCCATACTGGGTCAGACCAAAGGTCCATCTATCCCAGTATCCTGTCTTCCAACAACGGCCAATGCAAGGTGCCCAGAGAGAATGAACAGAACAGGTAATCATCAAGTGATCCATCCCCTGTCACCCATTCCCAGCTTCTGGCAAACGGAGGCTAGGGACACCATCCCTACCCATCCTGGCTAACAGCAC